AATGGCATGTTCTCTCCACGTGATCACGTACCTGGTTCGTGTTTCATGTCTCAGAGCTCCGCTCGGCGTTTCAGCTTTATCGTATAGGGCTGAGGTAACTGCGATCCTTGGATGTACAGCAAAACACACCATTACTCTCTTCCCTTCTCAACACCATCATCAACTCCGCGCATCTCTTCCGGATAGCTCGCGAGCATGTCTTCCACTAGCCCGTCTGGACCATACGTCTCCGCCATCAAGGGCCTCTCTCTCGCCTCCACTTTCACAGTCCTTGGGAGTCTCTACACCCTCTCCTCCGCCACAATCCCAGGCATCGTCTCAACGCTGTCCCAAGACTCTACCTCCGCCGCCCAGTCCGCTGCGCAGCAATTCGCCATCGCCCAGCGCGCCGGCAAGACTTCCACTCTCCCCACAGAGTTCATCGCCATCTTCGGCCTTGGGTTTCTCAGCTATAACAGCTACACCACTCCACTGGCCATCGTTAATACCGGCGCCTTCGCAAAATGGAAGCTCTATCTCCTCGCCTCTCTCGCAATGTTCAGCGTCATCCCCTTGCACATCACCCTCCTGACGCCTATCGAGAACAAGCTCCTTGCTTTGGCAGACGCACCACCGCACAAGCCCAGCGCTGAACCAGCACTGGAGCACTCGTCGACGAGCGCATTCAATTTGCAAGTTCCTGGCGGCGAAAGGCCAGCGATTACGCCGATCGAGGAGTTCGAGCCGTACGAGGACAGTCCTTTCAGCACGGATGAGTACGAGAGGGAGAAGGTGCGGCGGATGCTGGTAAGCTGGAGTGGGCGGAACGCTGTGAGGAGGGTGGGCGTGGCGCTTTCGGGAATACTGGGCATGTGGGCTGCACTAGGGTAAAGGGAGAAGGCGAAGGCGAGGCTGCAGATGGCCGCGTAGGGGAGATGCTTCGCTGGCGAGCTGCTTCATGTCACGGACTGATTCGCAGTGCGGCATATCGAGTGTCTCTACGGCCTAATGGTCGTCGCGCGAGGAACAGGATACAATACAGGGCTAGGGATGACGGGAACAGGAGTTATGGCATCTAAACTGGTACAGCTCTGTAGCCTGCCATTCACGCAGTGTCGATTCGAGCGTGGAAATCACAATCTGGACCGGCCTGGCATGCTATCTCTTTCTTGCTGTGGACAGGACATGGATCGCAACACATCAGTTGCAGCAAGGCTCACGTCCAGGCATGCAAGAAGATGTGCGCTACGGTGGGCGTCCGATCCAGCCAGACGCTCCACACAGCATTGCTATTCGTTACGAGCCGACGACACATATTGCATGATCCAAAGACCTAAGGGAATTACTCAAATCGCTTGATATTCCAGCTAACAATCGGCTCCAAAACGATACTCATCGATCTGAGGTAGAGCTGTCAAGCGTCAATGACGCCACTGCTGCTTCGGCATAAAGTACATCCAGTTAAGTGATCAGTAGTAAGGCAATGTAGGAATCAAGAGACTCTCCCGTACTTTCATAACTTCCTCTCTTCGGACAGCACGAATCTTCTGCAGCAAGATGGCGCCTCTAAACAAAGCCCAAGATCTCTTCAACGTCAATGGCCTTGTAGCTGTGATCACCGGTGGAGGCTCAGGTTTGGGATTATACGCAGCTCGAGCGCTGGACGCCAATGGTATGTTGCAATATTCAGGACACACGATGACTGATCGCACCACTAACGATCTTCACCAGGCGCCAAAGCAGTCTACATCGTCGGCCGCCGCCAAGCCACCCTCGACGCCGCTGTCAAAACCGGCGTCAACGGCAGCATCAAAGCCATAATCGGCGACGTCTCCAACAAGGACGACCTCCTCCGGATCGCCTCCCAGATCCGCTCCGAAGTAGGCTACATCAACCTCCTCTTCGCCAATGCAGGTATCTCAGGCCCTCCCGCTGCCTCTCTGCTTCCTCAGTCCGGCCCACCAGCCTCGATAGCAGACTTCCAGCGCCTTCTTCTCGACTCTTCGATGGAGGATTTCACGCAAACTCTACACGTGAACAATACGGCAGTCTACTACACTGCGCTAGCATTTCTGGACTTGCTGGATGCTGGGAATAAGAAGAGGAATGTCCCGCAGGACTCGCAGATCTTGGTCACTACGTCGATTGCTGGTTTATCAAGGCATCTCGCCTCATCTTTCGCTTATAGCACAAGCAAAGCCGCCGCCAACCATCTGGTCAAAATGCTCTCTACCCACTTCTCGCAATCGGGCTACCACATCCGCGCGAACGTCGTCGCGCCCGGTCTATATCCTTCGGAAATGACGGAGAAGGCTACGGGGTCCATGGAGAAGTTTCAGGGTGTGGAAGGTCACGAAGATGCGTTCGCGGGTGCCCATGTGATGGCGAAGGAGAAGAGTCCGGCGGAGAGGACAGGGAGTGAAGAGGATTTTGCGGGAGTGGTCTTGTTCATGTGTAGTCGAGCAGGGGCGTACCTGAATGGGGAGGTGATGGTCACGGATGGGGGGAGGATCGGGGTTCATCCGGGGACTTACTGAGACTGAAGTTGACTTGTTGTAGTACCGCGGAATTTACGCGTATATAGCGGGCGATATACAATACAGTAGATCTGTTGGAACTCCTTGCAACGCCGAGCCATGCAATATAACCAACAGTCTGGCCTGACTGTCGCAAATTCGTGATCCTGTATTCTCCACGGTCCTCCACGGTCCTTTTAAGACCGCCCTGGCAATCCTCGTCTTCGTGGTAACTCTTCGTCTGGGATCAATTCTGCCTTATTGTCAGGCACTGTATGTCTCTCACACACTCAGATCAAGGACCACCCACCGCCCTCCGCTTGATCAATTTCCGAAACCCACTCTCCTTCTTCGCCGGCGCCGCAGTGCCACTACTCTCCGGCGTAAACGTAGGCTGCACGCGATTGATCTCATCCTCGGCTTCATAGCTCGGTCGAAACGCAGGATGCGTAGTTGTAGGCTCTGGCGGTCCACCGACTTTCTCCTGGGGTCCACCGACTCTCTCCTGCAGCCCACCGACTCTCTCTTGCGGTCCACCAAACCCCGAGGGTCCACCGAAGCCAGCATCGCCGGTCGGCCTGTACGTAGCTGGTCCTGGTACTGGTGGTGGTCCGGGAGGCGGAGGTGGGAAGCTATCTGTTCCTCCAGCCCTGCCCAGCGGCCGTGGGCTGCGAGACGGCGCGCGGTCCTGATTGAAGTGTTGAGGTGGGATCTGGGGTGCACCGCTACGGTTGTCGCGTTGCTGCTCCCAGTCATTGAGCACAGGGTTGGGATTCTGGTGGCTGCGAGAGGCCTGTAGGCGGGCGAGCTCGGCGTTCCCGCGGTCGAGGGTTGAGCGATTTTTGGCTTCGGCTGCTGCTGCTTTCTCCGCGTTATGGCGGGGGAAGCGGGAGTCGACTTCGTTATTTAGGGTGCCGCGGAGGGTTTCACCAACTCCCTGAGAAATCAGTCAGTAAGCCCTCCTACGTAGAGCAATCGAATGCGCCTGTTGCTAGCAACAGTACTCACGTGCAGACCGATCGCTGCCGATTTCAGGTTCTCGAGTGTGCTCTTCGGTCGAGAAGAAGATCCTCCGCCAAAAGACGAAGATCCCCCGCCGAACCCGAAGCTGGGCTGAGGTGGCGGAGGCGAGGAGATAGGTGACACGGGGTTCTCATCATTCTTCAGCTCCGTCCGACTCGGGTAGCTGAAGTTATGCTTGTACGGACTCGAGCCATCCGCGAACTCTGTGCTCTTCCTGTTCGGGTTGCGTGCTGGAGGTGACATGCGCGGGTCTTGCCATGTTTCGCTCAATGGCGGCGCAACATTGTGCTGTGCTTGTCGCTGGCTTTCTGCTATGCGTAGACTTTCTTCTCGCCTGGGTCTGTCGCCCGGGGCTTCTGCAATCTCGGGGTGCTCAGTGTGTGTGGGCTGCGCGTTCTCTTGTTGCTGTCTGTGTGTTTCGACTTGAACGGTCGTGCCTTTCTTGCCGGCGGCCGCGCCCTTATGGACTGTAGTGGTCGTTGTAGTAGTAGTCGTGGTTACTGTGCTCACCACTTCTCCCGTGTCATGATCAAACACCTCGCCTGTCCGATTATTCACGTCTAGACTTCGGTCCTGTGAGACACCCTCGATCCTGCCATTGTTCTCGATAGGCTGAATGTCTGCCCGCGAATTGCGCTTTGACGAGGGGCCATCACTGGAAGCATACGCAGAGTCCGCTGCGATCCCACCGTTGGTGCTAGTCGACCACTGGTGGTTCAACTTCTGATCCATGGCTGGCGGCGCGAGGTCTTCCTTCTTCCCGCCCCCAAAGAGATGAGATAGGCGTCGTTTCTTCTCCGGTGTTGGAGGTGATTGGACAGGATTGTTGTACGGCGGCATAGCACGGGTATAGATGAAAGAAATAGATGAGATGGCGCCGTTCCACTCAACTTACTTCACGAGGCTGATATGAGCCTCAAACTTGGCCAAGACCAACATCCTTCGATGGAGTCGTGGAAGGGTGACGTAGGAACCCCCCGCTGGATCGGGCAGAAGATCGACCAAGGACGCCACGAACCAAGCTCGACTTTGCATGTGCGAGGCTCGGTATCTTTTGCTATGATAGTATGAAGCATGGAAAGCAGCAGCTTGTCAGGAGCACGGTGTGTAGTCGACGTCTGATGCAAAACGTGAAAAGGTTAGGGCTGTCGCTGGCCATGACTACTGTCTTTCACAGGACTTCTTCGGGTTTGCCGTATCAGAGCATTGCTGAATCGGACATTTCATCCCGCTGTCACAGGCCGGATCCACAACCACATGTGTGGCCCCGCATAATGCAGATGGGTGAGCAAGGCAAGGCTCCGGGCAATCACATACCTAAAAGCAGGCTCGAAGTTCCCTACTTTAGAAGGCCAACAGAACAGCAACATGGAGTCATCATCAATCTGCCTCAGAATCAGGTACCTTCGACTAACCGTACCGTCTCACCGAACAGAAATGTGTTGTATATAATTACTAACATCCTCTCTCGACCAATCCTTCGGCACTTTGGCGGAGTGGTTAACGCGCTGCCCTGCTATCCTACTCTTGTAGCAAGCAGCTCTAGGCAGTTCCCTCGGGAGCGAGTGTTCGAATCACTCAGGTGTCGTAGTTGTTTTGTCGTTTTGCTTTGCAATGGAGGTGGAGTAGGAGCAGAGAGAAGGATGTAGTGAAATGGGGACTGGCCGCTGTTTTGCCCAGTGACAATGTGTCCGCGTGATGTCCCTGGAATGCGGGCACCGGTAGGCATGCGCCGACGGCCCCCCTGTGAAGTAGAAAAACCTCGCGTGTTGTCTTTGTCTAGTTAGTGGAAAGTTGATGAACGAGGTGAAGTGAGAAAACTGAGATCACGTGATACGCGCAAGTTTGTATACTGTCTCTCCCGACCTGCTCTGTAAAGGGACGCCTGGTGATGTACGTTTACTAACGATACGCCGAGCTGGCCAGTGTTGAGGAGTGCAGCGCGCTTCAGTAAAGATTCAGACATTATCCACCTTATTTGTCGCGAGTGAGCGGCTACGCCATTGCTCATGCAAGGCCTCCCAACTTCGGTATGAACATGGGCGTGTTCTTCTTCCACTCCTGGTAGTCCTTGCGGTCGCCGTATCGCTTGTCGTACTTGTTCTCACTCAGTGGGATGCCAGAGACCTGGGGTTCGATTAGTATCGATCTCGACTCCTGACGAGGACACCGGACAACTTACCTTCAACAGCAAGAAAGTGACGAATGCCGGGCTCACACCCGCCATAGCCAGTGCACCGACTTTCCCGGCCAGTCCTCCGCTGAACCCCATCCCCGCCTGCCCAACGCTAGTCAACATGACGCCTGCAGCAGTCGTAGCAATACCAGTCCACAGCGTGCTTTCGCCGAAGTAGTTCGGGTGCCGGCTTTTGCTCCATAACCCTCTCGTCAAGAAGTCCTCGCTATGCTTCTTCTCCTTCTTCTCTTTCAGCCATTGCGTCTTCTGCCTATCAGCCGTAGCCTCGAACACAATGCCACCGATGTAGAGTGAGACGCCAATGATGTCCGTGATGGTGATGAAAGGTAGCGCTGCGAGAGCTGTGGCGGGGATCGAGTTGAGTGCGAGCACGGGCATGAGGCAGAGGGAAACCCATGTTGCTTGTGCGACGAAGGCGCCAAAGAATTTAGGTGGGGAGCCACGGATGTTGTCGAAGCGAGAGTCCTTTCCATCGTCTGCTGTGATGCGGCCGAAGAGGAAGCTACCGAGCCTGACAGCCCAGAACGTCACAGCTGCGCTGAGCACGACTTGTCGCCAGTTCCATGCGTTCAGGCCGCCTTTGCTCGTCAGACTCGCAAGTAGACTCGGGTACGCCGGCGCAGTGGCCGCTGTCAATGCGGCATATCGAGCTCGCAGGGTGGGAAGGTAGAGCGACAGCGCTGTGCATGAGATGTAGGTCAGGCTGCCGGAAAGGTCGTAGAAGCGCTCGGTCTGGAGGAGTATCGAAGGTATGGCTGCGGCGGCTTGGATACCGAATGCGAGGCCTATGCTGGGGACAAGAGTGCGGAGGAATGGGTTTCGGTAGGCGGTTATGTTGAGGAGGGTATGCACGAGGGAGGACATCGTGGGTGTTGGTGGTCGGAAGGAGGAGAGTGGTACATAGAAATGAAGGAAGGGAAGAAAGCTGATACTTGTGCCTTTTGGCGCTCGCGTTCACATGCTCGCAGCTCGCAGTCCTAACTGCATTGGAATGACAGCCAGAGAGATCTACTGTGACGACATCGCGAACTATCCGTCAGGGTTCGTCTATCTTCGAGTACATCTACCGCCATTCAGCTCCATATTCGCCTGTCATGTAGCCTCCGTCCAGCGGACTGGTGACAGCGAAGGCTAGGTTCATGGGCGGGAGATGAGATTCTACAGATGCAATGCTGAGCTCCGAGTGCACACTCGTGAATTCTCCTGCCGCAAGATGGCTGATGAATCACGCGAGTGAGCAGGGTAGGCGTCTCTCGTGTGCGGGATGAGGATCATGCCATACGGACCTACGACCCCTGGAGTGCTCGAAGAAGCCCATCGGAAGGACCTAGCTGGGGATGATGTAGTCTGCTCGCGCGATCAGTACTATGCGGACTCTCCTCTTCATAATGCGGTAGCTTCATGGACAGAGTGCATTGGCAACGCCCTGCGACAAATGCGTTGTCGGAATACGAGGATATCGTGTCCATAGGCCAGCGACGAATTGGAAGGATGGCAGTTCGTCTGATGCCAACCCGTCTTCAAGCGTGTTGCATACAGGTAGGCTTCCTAGTCACTACGATCTAAATCTCTCAAGTTTCTTTCCAGTCGTACAGACTCACAGCATCGAGGGGATCTCCTGGTGACCGCGACCGTGCCGACAAAGAGCATACACTGTACCGTTGTAGAACACCACGCCTGGACATCAGACTAACGCACAGCACTGCTGGATCTCCCACTGGAGCTCGTACAGTCCATCGCCGAGTACTCGGATATGACACCAACACTCAGATTGACTTGCGTTGCCCTGCTTGCAGCTACTCTGACTGTGTTTGCCAATATCTATGTGTCTAGCTTACACTGCTTTATTCTGGACGCGAAACGTTGGCGCCGAATACGCAACATTGTAGGCAGTCCTCGCCTGGCGCGATACATCCGCGCCATCAATTTCACATCTAGTCCACTCGAACACTGTCGGTCTTCGGAAGTAACCACTGCTGCGGTGAGGCACGAGAAGGCAGCGACCAAGAACCATGGAAACCTTAAGACCCAATTGCTCAAGACAGCGATCGCGGCGCAACCACAGCATATGCTAGTGCATTTTTAATTATTCAAGTCTTCAAAGCCATCAAATGTCTCCCTAGTGCACCACGGATCTGCTTAGACGTGACCGCCAGCCGATTGGGGCAGACGACTGTCCATCGAGACGTGTGCCTTGCCCTCGCTACAACCGGCATGCCGCTGAAAAACATATCGGTCAATCTCGCGAGCCTCTGCGGACTTGAGGACTTGGTTGACTCAGATTCCGAGGATGGCGTACTCGCCTGCTGTGAAAGTCTCGACGAGCTGAATGTCGATTTCCAACACGAATTGAGAGAGACAAATAAGTCAAACAAGTTTATGGCTGCTGCTGCGTTGCCGTGTCAAATGATAGTGGCAGCTAACAATCTGCAGATCCTCAAGATCCGCATGGATTTGTTCGAGGGGTTGATCAGTCTTGAGCACACCCGCCAAGTCGTGC